AAATTTATAAATAACTCGTAAAAAAATAAATACTTAGATTTTTTATTTTTTGGAGAGTCCTATCCGACGTCGGGTAACCACAAAATGGTGACTTCATTGCGGAATAAAGTTATGCCATAGGTTTAGTTTTTAATTTATCTCTTATATTTATTTTTTGGTCATTTTATTTTCTTTGTATATATTTACATTTTTGTAATTTATTTTCTACATTTTATTTTCTCATTCCATGTTTATTTTTGAACTAGGTTGTATATTTTTCTTTGACTCGTTGCACACACCACGAAGGAAACCTATAAAAGCTCTAGCGAGCTAAATCCCGATAGGACTTAGATAGAGGGATGCGGAAGCGAGTATGAAAAAAGTCTACCGATGTTCTTTTAGACTCTCGTTTGAACCGAAACTCTCTCTATACATTAGAAATAGTAAAATAACCTTCCTCTACCTCCTAGTGTATAAGGTTAGAGGTTGGATTACCCCACTCGGTAATTTAGACAGTCCAAAAACTTGAAAAAAAATTTAGGATTAGAGAAGCTTTGCCCAACTATAGAAAAATTAGATCATATCTATTAGGGTTGACCTAATTAAGACACAAATTATTTTTAATGATGTTAGTACTAACCCTTGGTTTTCACGGAGTTGTCCTTCATATTAAATCATGGAAAAAGAAATCGAAATGAGATTGAGGATTTTAGGGTCGGATACGAGCGAGCTCAAAATGATGAAAGAGATTATCTATCCTCAAATTTCATATCAAGACTCGCTAAAAAGGGTTAGATTGGCCGATAAGATAGTTAACATGGTTGAGGTTGTCACTAAACTTAGAATAGGGCTTCATATGTAATAAGGCTTTCCTTAATTGTAAGTTCCCTTTAAATCACATTTAGAATGTGATAAAAGTTTGGATTGTAATAATAATGCTATTTCTTTTTTATGAAAGATAATTTCGCCCTTTGTGTGCTTTTAATAAGAGTGGTTTCATCATTTCAACATTAAGCACAACTGAAATTGAGGGCATATATATCTTTCTAATAGCTCAAGTATATGTGGGGTAAGTTTGCCCTCAACGAGTACTAACTTGATCGACTCGTCCTCGATGAGATTCTATCATGATTTAATATGTAAGCAACAAAAAAGGTATATAACCTCGTTCAAATCATGCATTTTGCATTGTATTCACTTGTATATATTTTTATGAGAATTCGGGCCCAAAAAAGCATAGATTGCACTTACCAAAGCTCGGCTCACCCTAACACCAATAACTCGCCAAAATGAAAAACCAAAATGAAGCTCGAAGCGAGTTAAGCATCCAACAAGAAATGGTCGTCATGAGAAATGAAGTGTCCCATTTGACCAATTTGCTTGAGAAGGCCCTTCAACCTAAACTGTTGAAAAATGAAGCCTCAATGATGAAAGATTCATTCTTTCCTCTTACGATGCCGGTTCCTCCATCCGATATGCCATGTCTCTATACTACTTCCATGATAGCGGCTCATCCCGAAGGGCCCCCTTTAGTGGCTTCATCAAGCAATGTAGCATCGTCCATTACCAAGAAGTCCTCACTCTTACATGACTCACCTCGGCATGTGACCTTGTCTCCAAGTCATTTGTCTCAAACCCAAATCCCTTCACTCTAGCCTCAAGAAAATAAGGGGACTAAGAAAGGAAAAAGGGTTAAGATGTATGGGTTAACTTAGTTTCTCGATAACAAAGAGGATGAGCGTGCTTAAAATTTTAAACGACCGGTTCGAAGGAGGACCATTATGGATGGGGGAATAAATGTTTGAGTAGGACTGACCTCCGTGGTATAAGAAAAGGGATCGATTAATCTGTATGGATGTATTTAAAAAGATGGCAAGCATTAGCCTTTCGGACACACCCCTCATTGACTCGGTCGGAAAGGGTAGAAATCTTCATCAACACTTTGGAATTCCTATACTCGTGAATACTTGAGTGGGAGCATTTCATGCTCGTTCTAGGATCTAGTGAATATGGCAAGAGAAATAAAGTATGACGTAATTCTGAAAAAGGCCTTAGAAGACACTTCCAATGAGAGGGGTTTTGGTCATGATGTATCCAAAACCACCCTCAATCTCCACTCTCCAAAATCTTATGAGAAAATAAAAGAATCTTTTATCTCATCTTCCCATTTTCCTTGTCCAAAGCCATCAAATACAAAACCAACGAGTCTTTCAAGGGACCCCAAAAATCATACTTTTAAAATAGTGGTCGATGATATCAAGACATATTGCCTCCACTAAAGATTTCACTAACCAAGTTATGTAGGCATCTCATCACCATTGGAAAAGTCATTCCCATTCCTATAGCTCCAATTTAGCCTCCATACCCTCTTTAATACAAGTTTATCGATGAATGTGACTATCATGATGGTGCGGTAGGTCATAGTATCGAGAATTATATGGATTTTAAGAGGAAAGTAAGATCTCCGATTAAGCTAAGATGGGTCTTTTTAGATGAAACCCGGATGCATTAAATGCTAGAGATAAGTCACAAGTACTTGCATGATCCTCACCATCCAAATAATCAAGATCAAAAAAGAAATATGAACAACTACCACCCTTACCTTTTCCATTGGGAGAGATATTCGAGCATTTGAAAAACATTGGGCGAATCACCCCGATCCCCACTAACCCAATGCGTCCTCCTTATCTTGCATGGTATAAAACCCGATGAGAGGTACAAATATCATTCGAGTGCCGCTGGACACAACATTGAGAATTATTTTGCTCTTAAGAAAGGTTGCTTGCCACTAATCAAAAAGCAATGAATTAGTTTTAGAGATGGTTTATATTCTCTCAAGATGAGCGTCAATCCATTACCAAATCATGCGGTCTCGAAGCACTTAGGGAGAAGAAGTTGAGTGAACTTGAAAGATATCATGAGGGTGTATGCTCACCGATTTGCAATTATTGTCTTTTGATTTTATCATTTTGGATACTATTTTTAAAATGCTTTGGTTATGGATGATTTGAGATGCATTTTTAAATGAAAGAATATTTCTATTTTCTTTTGTAATTTTGTATTATCCGATTTAAAAATTAAGATATGTTCATTTGAAACCATTATTTGGCATTACATCTTTCCCCCATCAAGAAAATGTAATGGCAAATTCATTCATTAAAAAATAAAATAAAAATTGATCAAATTTCAAAGTATGACAATTCTTCGAGTTCATCCCCTAGTAACCTTCATGAGCGAGAAAATAATGGAGCAATCCTCCTAAAAAAAAACCACCATCCTTTTCCAACGAGAACCCTTGAAGGAAAGTTTTGCCTAAAAGAATATCATTAAGCCAAAAAAAAAATTTTGAAATAAAGAAAAAATTAAAAGATTGGTCTCTTAAAATAACAATGAATAGTACATCTCCAAGTCATCATCTAAAGTTATTATCATCATATCTTTGGTCAACTCGACGAGTTCTCCAAGTCAATCATTCTCTTTTTCAAAAAGGAGATTAGAATTTTTAACAAGGGCAAACTAGCTTTTGAGATGAGAAAAAGGCTATCTTTCAAATTTCCTATAAAATTTTAATCCCTCGTCATCCCAATTTGAGCCTAGATGTTTTCTTTCATGATAAACCGGACTAGGATCATCCCTTAAACTAAGGGCGAATGCAAAGTCCATAAATAGTTGATGAAACTCTAAAAAAAAAAGAAAATTTTATCTAAAGAATCGCATCGGTGATCCTAAAAGCAAAAGAAAAGAAGAAGAGAACAACAAAAGAAGAAGAAGAAAAGATGGGATTCAAAGTCCGGATAAATAGACAATAAAAGCCGAGACTAGGAAGCAAAGTCAAATGGTAAAGCCACCTCGACAAGCCTAGAAAGAAAATCTTCTCATGAAGTTCAAAGCATAATTGATGGTTGAAGAGATAAAGTTCAGGTGGCATCACCTAAAAGAGACTTATGTGGACAACGAAGTGATCCTATGTCACAAGACCTTTAAACACTTTTGAGCCTTGATATAGCCTTCTTTCATGAGCCTAAGCCATAACCAACATTAAGTATTTTTACAAGTCATTTCGATTAAAGGCGAGTTCATTTAAGTTGTTGGATACTAATCTCAAAAGAAAAGAGAATGATTGTAAAAAAAACAAGAAAACACGACGAGTTGGTGTGTTGTTCATCATAACACTCAATCATCGGTTCTCGTCAAGCTAACTTGGGGGCAAAAAATAAAAGATATTTTTGGGCTAATTTATCCTTCAAGACCAATTTTCTCGAAATACTTTCCGCTCAATTTTTTTCATTCACCAAAATGAACTTGTCATTCGAATATTTATCTTCAAAAACATCCAAAACCTTTTTCTTAGAAACTTTACATGGTTCAAGCACATTTGATGACTTAGCCTTACAACCTTTTTGAGAAAGTTGTATCATAGCATTTAAACATCATGTATTGACTTTTGATTAATCAATTTGAACACTTTCATAAATGAAAATGCTTTCACCGGAACATCTTTACATTTCTCTTAAATAATTGAATTGTTTTAAGAGATTCATTCAAGTATATGGCTTTATCCATGAAAACCAAATGTTCATCAAAAAATGATAAAATTTCATGATTAATATGCGAAGCTGTGATGCAAACATCAAAAGACAAGATTTGAACACCAATGGTATCCGAGCCAAAAGAGTCTGTAAATATGTGATCTCAACTAGTACTTAGGGGTATCTTATTGACCCGATCTAGTTGGTAACCTACGAAACTCAAATACTTAGGGAGCAAAATCAAGGATTGACACCATAAAGTCAAGCGATGCAATAAAGGTCCAAGCGACAAGGGTTGGGGGTATTAATTAAACATCTAAAGCAATCAAGTCGGGGGCGGGGAGGGTCTTCTTAAGCAAACCAATGGCTAAAAAAATAGTACAATTTAGATTAACCATTCGGACGAAAGAAAAGGTGAACTCCTAGAACGAGTTCAATTTACGTAAAGGAAGAGTTGGGCTTTTAAAGTGCAATCTATGTTTCTCGCAGTAATCAGTCGACCTCTATGTCAAGTTGTGTTTCGGGTACATTATAACCCTAGGGAAAGAAGTAAAGTCGAAGCAAATCCTAAATGGAAAAGTACTAAGAAAATGGGAAAACAATAGCCACCTCAGCTCATCTCATAATAGACCATCGCCCAAGCACGAAACCCAAAGTTGAAAGACCACTTCCGGGTAAGCTCGATTAATTTAATTCATCACTTCGGATAAGGTTGCTTAGTAATCATCGCATGTTTAATTTTTAGGGTAGACTACCATTTACAATAAGGCCACGCATCGCACGTTTAATTTCTAGGACGGACTGTCCTTTATAACAAGGCCACGCATCGCACATTTAGTTTCTAGGGCAAGTCGCCCTTTACAACAAGGCCACGCATCACACATTAATTTATAGGGCAAGTCGTCGTTTACAACAAGGCCACGCATCATTTGTTTAGTTTCTAGGATAGGTCGCCCTTTACAACAACGTCACACATCATTTGTTTAGTTTCTAAGGTAGGTCTGCCCTTTACAACAAGGCCACACATCATTTGTTTAGTTTTTAGGATAGGCTGCCCTTTACAATAAGGCCACGTATCATTTGTTTAGTTTCTAGGATAGAGTTGTCATTTACAACAAGGCCACACATCGTTTTTTAAGTAAACCGCCCTTTACAACAAGGTCATGCATCGTATGTTTAGTTTCTAGGTCTAGGGTAGGCTTCCCTTTACAACAAGGCTATGTATTGAACGTTTAGTTTCTAGGATAGGTCGCCCTTTACAACAAGACCACACATTACACGTTTAGTTTCTAGAGTAGGCTACTCTTTACAATAAAGCCACGCATATCACTTTAAATTTTTAAGGTAGGACATCCTTCATATTAAGGTCATCTCATCACAGACTTCACTCTTAGGTTTAATCATTAAAAAAAACAACAAAAAAACACACCTTTTTTCTTTACAAGCTTATTAAACAAAGTCACTAAAAAACTTTGTTTTCATTTGACTTCGCGCCATAAGCATTGTAATGAGGGGGTAACTTTCATAACCCAAAAATTTTCTCATTTATTTTATTTTATTTTGTATCTTATCATGTTTGTTATTTCTTTTTTTCTTTTTTTGAAAAAAAAAACCCAAAATATATAGAAAAATAATAAAGATAATATATATATAATAAAAATACAAAAAAGGAAAGATGGGTAGAAAATATAAAATTTTCATCAAAGGACCCCGAGTTGAGAAAATTGTTATTTCCATGATCGAAATCACATGAAAATGAGCATGATTGTAGAGAATTGAGATTCCCGGGGACCAAAGTATAAAATTGGAGCGAACAACACTCCAAACCAAAGTTCCCCCTCAAACCATTTGAAAATCTATCCGAATCCTCGACTAATTGGGTTGTTTTTGAATTCGATTTATCCCAATTTTCTAGCTAACCAAATTCACGGATCAATAACAAGAGTTTGAGTTCTAATTGAATAGTTAAATTTTTTTTTATTTTTAAGGTAATTGAGTTAGAGTAAAACTAGAATGAACAATGCCTATAAAAGAGGTAAGAATTTGGAAGGAAAAAAAAAGGAAGGAGGAATAAAGAAGAAATCTAGGGTTGAGAGAGAGTTAAAAAACGAAGAAAAAGGTAAAATTTGGAGGGATTTTTGGGGTTTTGGCTCTTGCGTGTTACGGGAAATTTCTAGGCGGAGGTTTAGTGTTCTTAATTTCCGGGTTTGTTTTCTTAATTGCCAGCCTTTCCAATTCTTTGTTTCGAGTTTTTTGGGGTTAATCTTTCATCCTCAAGTGTTCCTCAATCTCAAATCTTTAAATTTCGGTTCCAATTCTTCAATTCTTGGGTTTTCTTTTTTTGAATTTACGGTCATTCACCATTTTTTTTTAAAAAAAAATTTGAGATTCTGCGGTAAGGAATTGGTTACGTTTTGGAAAGGTACCAACCTCAAGTGTTTGAACGTTTTGCTTCGTTGGGTTTCGTTTTTGGTGTTCTTCTAATTGTTAGACCCTAATCCTTCGATTTTGAACTTGTTTGAACATCCAAAAACAACCGAAAGTTCCCTAAGTCCCTCGAAATCATTTCGAGGTTCGATCTCGGTCTAGCAACTTCGAATAACGATCTCAATTCGGTCGGCATTCTTCATTTTTTTTTCGGTTTTTCCACTCTTTTTTGTTTTTACTTCCTATTGCTTGATTTTGATTGTTTAGGTCTTAGATCGTTAAAGGCAACGACATTGAACATGATATAATCAATTATTATTTTTTTTAATCTAAAATGAAGTTTCAATGTTTGAAAAATGTTGATGAATAGTGAGAGAAATTGAAGAACATGAAGAATTAGAGAGAGAGAAAGAGGGTCGAAGGGGTTTTGATCGAAAATTCTAAGTTGTTTTGTTCTTGGATATGTTTTTAGGCTTCGGCCCAATCTAAGATAATAAAAGAGGCTAGACCGATTGCAGTCCGGCCCGATCCTTACCCCCAAAAAAAAAAACCAAAAAGGGGCTAGATTTTTTCGATCCGACTCGCACCCCTTATCCCAAATAAAAAAAGAAACAAACCACGAGGAGAGAGGCTAGAATCAGTCCAACCTCTCCCGAAAAAAGAAAAATAAGAAAAATATGTAAAAAAAAAAAAAGGGAGAAGGTAGAATTAGGGAAGAAAGATAATAAAAAAAGAAAAAAAAGAAAAAGAGAATGGGTAGGAGAGATTAAGTCATGGGCTAATGGTTTGGAGCCCAAAATAATTTCCTTTTATGTGTTAAATTTTTTTTTCTTTTAGCCTAATATTTTTATTACTTTTTCGTTTCATTTTATTGCATTAATTTAAATTTGATATTTTATTATTTTTTTAGATGTTATTAGATCAATAAAAAATACAAAAAAAAAAAAAATCTTTGGCGAGGTCTTCTACCTAGTAGGGACTCACGTCACACAAAAAAATATATAAGATTTTCGACGAAGTCTCCTATCTAATAAGGTCCGACGTCATCAAAAAAATGTATAAAATTTTTGACGAAGTCTCCTATCCGATAGGGACTAACGTCACCAAAAAATGTATAAAATTTTCGACGAAGTCTTCTATCCGATAGGGACCGACGTCACAAAAAAAATCATCACTTAATTAGGATGTCCTCCGACACACCGGTTGTGTCAAGGCTAAAAAAGGATCCGATGTTTAAAACGACGTATTGCTCGATGAAAATGACCAACTATCATTTCAATACGATACCCCACCCAATAACTATTTTTTTTTTCGAAGTTCAAAAATTAGAAAATAATTTGACAATAAATAAAATATTCTAGGAGATGAACTTAGGATCGAACTAGACTTGGTACTTTTCTTAGGAAAGGACGTTTTTGGGTGATCGATATCTTTCCAAACCGTAACTAACTCCTTACCATAGAATCTCCGTACCAATGCAACTTTTAGGTTTCTAGTTCTTTAATACTAAGTGGTGACTCCAAAATTTGTAAATAACTTTGTAAAAAACTAAATACTTAGATTTTTAATTTTTTTGTGGAGTCCCATCCGACGTCGAGTAACGACAATGCTATGCATCATGCAATCACTCGAACTTTCTTGGTTGAAAATTCTTTTAGATGAACTTGAGTTTAGTCCAAAAAGGCCTATGGTGTTGTTTTGTGATAACAAAGCACCCATTAAGATTGCTAATAATCCGAGTACAACATGATCGAACTAAGCATATTGAACTTGACATGAACTATATCAAAGATAATCTTAATTTTGACACAATAGAAATTCCTTATACTAGAAGTTCGGATCGGTTGGTCGACATTACAACTCATGCTATCACTAGTGGATCATTCTATATTTCGCTACCCAAGTTGAGCATGTGTGATATCTACGCCCCATCTTGAGAGAGAGGGTTAGCTAGAATGAGCTGTAGTCTTTCTTATTTCCTACTCTATATACTTTCCGTATAGTTTCCTCTTAAATTAGGAATATACACAATTGTATGTGTGATCTATTTACCATATATAGTTCTTTGTACTTTGTATATTTATCATTAGAATATATGAAAGAAAGACAATTCCGCATATTAACAACTCATACTCCTTTTTTCGTGGATCACAAATATGATATGAGATATATGATCTCAAATGGCAAGCCATGTCTTTGTGGCACATGTAAACCAATAGCGAAGAAGAATTAGTTGTGGTATCTATGATCCCCAAGTTTCAGAAAAAGCTGTTGGGGATAAAGAATTTGACTAAGCTAACTTCTGCGCAAAATTGTTCTTGGATCGTCAAGACAAAGTGCGCCATCTCAGACTTCCTCAACCTGCAACCAAAATATTAGCTTTAAAAAATAACAATCATGACCATTACACAATTCCTAAAATCGAGAGCCAAAATAGATGAGAAAGCAACTCAGATGAGTCATAAGAAACATTATTGAACTGGATAGAGATATTGAATGACCTGAGGGAGACTCATCAACTCGAGAACGGCTTTGTTCGGAGTCAATTCATTGTCTATGATCCGAGCAACTGCTGTTAATACTGGCACCTTAACATTATATTTCTGGGCCAACGCAATCACTGCTCCAGCTGTTGACACACCTTCTGCCACCTATACAACATAGCCATCAATTACCAAAATTTCGGTTATCAACAGTTAACAAGTATATGAAAATATTTACAAGCACCTGATTCATGGAACTCAGTATATCATCAAGCTTCTCCCCAGATCCAAGTCGTACTCCAACTGTTCTGTTTCTTGAGAGACTGACAAAGCAAGTAAGCATAATGTCTCCTATTCCTGACAAGCCAGTAACTGTTGCAGGTTTGGCACCCATCTTCAAGAATAAAAGTGGAGAATAAATTGAGAGATAGAGAACAAGGGATACAGCCATATCTGCACCAACAAAATATCGTAGATCTAAAGTAACATGCAGAAAATTTCGAAAGGTATGGAAGTCGTAACACTTATAAGAAAGTAATTTATTAAGCAAGGAAAACGCAAGAATCCGGAATGTACACAAACACTGTATAGGGAAAGCCAATGCAAATTAGGCTGAACAAGAAAGTAAGTTCATGTTATTAACTAATTTATTAATGCTAAGCTGTTTCTGAATCATCAAGGTAAACAGAACTTTTCCAGTATAGATCATGAGGTTGTCAACAGAATCTGCAAATGAGTGAGCAAACATGATAACAAGCAACCATTCTTTTCCTTTCCTTTTTCTCTTTTTTTCCAACCCATGTAGTAGAAGTCTATGTTGCCTATTCCGGGCCATAACACCTTACCAAACAGACATTAATAATACCAGAAAAGTTTGGTTGTTCCATGCAGACATTACAGAAAAAACATAGAAGCTAGTAGAGTTGTTAATTTCCCCAAGAAATCCTGAGAACAAGATACAGGATAAAAAGAAAACATTAACACTCTACCCAGCAGGAACAAAATACAGACTAAACTGGAATCTGAAAATGAAGCAGTTACAGAACAAGTAAAACACCTTTGTAGCTAGCCATCGGATCTCTGAACAACCTTGTGCAACAAGAGCTGCCATTGAGTTATTGCCAAGATTCATTCCTTCAACAATTCCAGCGGCTATGGCAAGTACATTTTTTAGTGCCCCTGCAATTTCCACCCCTGTAACATCCCTGGAGTCATCAGAGGTTACAAACTGAACATGTACTCCTGAGTACATACATTCTCTCAACTTTCATAAATATAACCCAGTAAAACCTTCACCACAAATAGATGTGAGGTTTCGTTTAGATAAAGAAACAACTAATATGATGGTAGGAATCACATAAAATTATTAGGCAAATCAGTGCAGCTAGAAATAGACCAATTTGACTGATTGAATCAATATAGGATAACTGAAAAATAATAGGGGAAAAAATAGGGAATAAATGTTATAAGCAATCTATGAAATTTCTCCAAGTTCTATTTCATGCCTTCTCTCATCCAGCAGTTTATCCAATCAAGTCATTCCATGTGGTGGATGCTATTAAGTAGTTAAATGCTTAATTGAAGTGGGATTTGGGAGAGATAAAAAGAGAAACATATAAACAAGTTTATGCTTAAGAAACTTTTGCTCCATTTGATTTAACGAAATTAGTCTACCTTGAAGTGCTGATTCTTAAGTGAGATGAAGCTAATAGCTGTTGAGCAGCAAATGCCAATTTCTTGTCCTTTGATGCCACTACCATTGCTGCAAACGCAAAAGGCATCAAAAGAAAAAACAACAAAAAATCAATACCCTCTAAGCATGATAAAAAGTAGAAGGCATGGTTTCTGTGAAGATTTAATTCATTCAAAATTCTCAAGTCACCTGTTGGTAACTTGTTCATCAATTCCAGAGCAAAAGAAGGTCCGGATAGTGCAACAAAAGGTTGGCGAGGATTCTTCAATGCTTTGGGAATGATCTGAGACATCATCCTCAATGTATTAAGCTCTAAGCCTTTGCTAAGGGATATGAAAGGCAAGCCAGGATCAACATATTCTGCAATGCCCTCAAGAAATGATGAGCTAAACTGCATTAAAGGAGCCAAAAGTTATGAAGAATAAATATGCAATTTTAAGTCTAAAATCAACACATCAAGAAAACACAGAGTAGTACTATCAAAGGACCTGCACAGGCACAGCATGAAGGCAATAGTCTGCATCGAGCAAAGCAGCTTTCGCATCGGTGGTGGCAATTATGTTATCTGGCAGTCTGTGTTCCGGGAAGTACTTGCTAAGTGCAAGAAATAAGAAACAATTACAAGCAATATTTAAAAAACAGATTACAATCTAGCAATGAATGTAAAAATGGAAGCATACATGACCTAGTCCTACCAATTACAGTGATTTTCATTGATAGACAGACAGAGTGAAGGGTCACGCAGAAGCATGTGAACTTCCAAATTGGACTTTCTATTAGCAACATGGGCGGCCATTGCTGTACCAAAAGATCCTCCACCAAGCACAACCACCTGTACAAACACAATCAATATGAACATATAGCCAAAAAATTCTCGCAATTTTCCAAGTAATTTTGATTCTTGAAACTTGCTGTGGTTTCCAAAAAATTCTCAAATGGGGCAATTATGCAAGTAATCTTGATTCTTGAAACCTGCTTGTAGGAGTTGCTTACATGCGAACAAAAAGCATGCACACAGAGACATTGGCGTAATACTCTAAATCATTGTTCACTGTTCATGGTATCTTCAATCAACATAGCATATGAATAAGAAACAGAAGTAACAACAAAAAGAAGAAGAGAGAACCTTGTTAGTGCGTTCAAGAAGGTCAGTCTTGTTGCTCTTGGAGCGCCAAGAGCGGGACCATCGAACGAGCTTCTCCCAAGCAATTTGAACCACTTTGCGGCGATCCTGCTGGGACCCCTCATCAGGAGTATTAGTAACTGCTACAGCGGTGGAGTGGGGCGCTTCATTTTCTTCTTCTTCTTCTTCTTCAGAGATTGATAGAGATGATGTTGAAGAAGAGATAACGGTTGAAAGAAAGCAAGGAGCGGGAGTGGGAGTGAACGTTAGTAGTGACGTTGGTGGTGGTATTTTGGAAGGGAAATTTTGAAGTCCAAGGGAAGTTTTGAAGGAGAGAAATGGGAGGTGGTTACAGTTCAAGAATGGAGGAGGTGCTTCAAGAAGCGCCGCCATTGTTACGGAATTTGACTGTTTGGAAAGAGAATCTGTGTGAGTGAGTGAGACTGATTCCTCCTTATCCGTTGTGTTTTTTCTCTGGTACTGGAAATTGCAAAATGGAATGCCAAGTTCAGTTAAGCCTCACAGACAGACAGACAGAGTCAGTCAGTCACTGCCTTCTCTTCTGCGCCTCTTCCATTCAGTTGTTCTTCTGGGACTGGATTAGCTCTCTTAGTTGAGTCATGGCCCGTGGCTTACAATCTTTTCTTTTCTCTCATTTTTACTAATTTTCCATTCTCTTCCAATTCCACCTTTCTTGTCATTTGGTAAATCGGTCATGATCAAGGGCATAAAGTGCTGTGCCATACGGAAAACTACATTATAAATACATTAATTCTGATTTTTTTTCTCAATTAAAGAAATTGATTTTTTTTATTTGAGTATATCTTTTTTTTTCCGAAAATATTAATCAAGTTTTTCATCAATATCTAATGGTGACATGTAAGTTAACTTAAAAGACTAAATGATTATATTATCATTTCTTTCTCCTTCCAAATTATTATTATTATTATTTAACTATTTATTAAAAACAAAAAAAACTAAAGCTTATAGCTGGCATGCACATGTGCCAATTTATGTATATCGTCAATCTTAAAATAATAATAATAATACTAATTTAGGAGAAAAAATACAACATAATCATTTAATTTTTTATTTTAACTCGTCACACCATTGCTAAAAGTAAAAACTTCATTGATACTATCGAAAAAGTTGATATACTAAAAAAAAAAAATTGACATACTCGATTGAAAAAATATTCAAAGTTAGTATACTAATAATGTAATTATCCCCACTACACACGTCACCATGTCATTTGTGCTAAGAATAAAGGTAAAAGGCCCTAAAAAATACATCTCGGTTGAATTTCTCCACCTACCATTTAATTAGTAAGGTCCATATGAATCTATCTATCTATCATAGCAACAAATATTATCTCAACATTTTCTTTTTTTCATTTAGGAAGAATTAGGGTGTCTATGGAGCCCAAATCACCACAACTAACTAATCTTTCATAACTCAAACTTAGTTTGTGCATATCATACTAATTTAATTTGTATCAAGCATGTTCAACCTTTACTTAAATAAAGCATTCTTTAACTCGCTTGGATGTCATGAGCACTCCATTTACCACCTCTTACAAAATTCAAGATTATTTATTGCCTTAACACTCCATGCATACTCAATCCTAATTAAGATCTCAAAAGGGAACATATGAATCCCCAAGTAGAGTTTACTAAAGATATGTAAAGGACAATTTGGACTTATCGAATTATGTAGTTGAAGTCGTTTCTTATCATTTCCTATTATTAGTGCGACATATGATCTTTGTTATTCAATTATAACTTAAAAAGAAGAACAAAATCAAAGACAAGTTCTTATTGGACACTTGATAGACACACACAAACCAGTAGGACTAGGATGATAACGAAACACGCAAACGACAAGTTATCCACACGTATGCAAAAGTTTCCTTCCAACCCTCGAAGCTTACTTTCTTTTTGAGAAAAGCACACCCCATCCATACAAATATTCTCCGACCTCACATAACCCATTTCATAACACCTTGATTTTGGACGTTCCTATGTACATAGGTGTGTTTGTTTTAAACCTAAACAAACATGTGTGCTATATGTATGTTTTGTTAAACATAGGATAATTATGTTTAACGTATACATAAAATGTGTGTTTTAGACTTATATGAAATTATGTTTAAGTTGTTTTATTCATTATTTAATGTTGCATGATTAAGTTGCTAAGTATTAGAAGAATGTGGGAGAATTAGAGGCTTAATTGAAACAATGAAAATTTTAGGGTGTAAAGTTTAAGGACTTAATTGAATAAAGAAATAAATTTAGGTGACTACTATGTAAAGTGAATCAACTTAGAGAACTAGGTAAATTCGGCTAAAATGGAGGAATTAAGTTTACGGTGCAATCGGGTATGTAAGGTTAGAGAATATTTGTGTGGATGGGGTGTGCTTTTCTCAAAAGAAAGCAAGCTTTAAGTGGTTGGAAGGAAACTTTTCCATACGCATGGATAACATGTCCTTCGCATGTTTCCAAATCTTCCTAGTCCTATTGGTTTGTGTGTGTCTCGTTAAGTGTCCAAGAAGAACTTGTCTTTGATTTTATTCTTCTTTCCAAGTTATAATTGAATAATAGAGATCATATGTCGTCATCGTAATAGGAAATAATGAGAAAAACGAGTTCAACTAGCTAATTCAATAAGTCCAAATTATCGTTTACGTGTCTTTAGTACTCTAAAATGTACTTAGGGATTCATATGTTCCCTCATGAGATCTTAATTAGGATTGAGTATGCATGGGATGTTAAAATACCAAATGAAAAATATTTTTTCATGATTTTGAAAAATGTTTTCTTTGATCGGGAGCTCTTTATCGAATATATATATATTCGATAAAGAGCTCCCGATCAAAGAAAACATTTTTCAAAATCATATATATATTCGGCTATCCATGAAAACCATGTCTTTAAAAACCATGAAAAGTACTAGACATGTCCCCCGTGAAACTTGTGATGCCTACAAAGAGTATTTACTAGATCATTCTCTTTATGTGCGATAATTAAGCTCGTAACTATGATTTAGACACATCTAGCCTTTTTCTTGAAAACAATGCACTTGATTTTGTCTTTGAAAACATGTATATGATAAAACCATTTCATGAGGTAAATGCAAACATATAACACTAAACATGACCAACCAACCAAATAATACATAAGAAAAACATTAAATCTTTCCAAGGTTAGCCAAATAATCACAACGAAACCAAGCTTCCACCAAACATGAATAATCAAGTAATACACTAAAACAACCACATAAAACTGATTTGAGTGGAAGAAAAGAGAGGAACCTATGAGAGAGAAAGAAAAGAGAAGAAAAGAGAGATAGTTCCAAGCCTTCAATACTTAGGTTCAAGAGAGAAACAAAGGAAGGAGATTGATTTGGTAAGAGAACCAAATATAGACAAACTTGGTTGAAACTTGGAGGAGAGAAAAGAAGAAGAAATCTAGACAAATTGAGGCCGAATCTTGCAAGGAAGAATGAGGGGTTTTGGTGAGCTATCCAAGAGGTTTTTATCCTAACTCAATACCAAATAAGTGTAATCATCTCATTTACATCATAAGGCATAGGAATTGGTTGATTAATTATGTGTTTATGCTTGAATAAAGTTGTTCATATTTAGGTGATTGATTGTTAGTTGAGATAATAGTTAACTATTAGATGGGTAATGCAATTGATATTTGATTATGATGGGTCATGAGTTTAATTGATGATAAAGGAATGTAATTAGGTTTAAACATGATTTAGGAATCTTAAAATTGTTGAATTGATGAAGTAATTGGTTGATGATGTTGTTTTGGGCAAATCTAAATTTTTGGAGGATGATTTGCCTAATATGAATTTTTAGTAAATTGATATAATTTACATGTGTTTAATGATAATCAAATTAGTTTTAGTGTATTTAAGTTGAATGATGAAATGTTTAAGTTAAAAAAAGATTTAGGAACCTTAAAGTTGTTAAAATCATGAAGTTGTTGGTTGTTTATATGTGTTGATCAAATCTGGATTTTAGTGAGTTGGTATGCCAAATCTAAAATTTTGATGGATTGGTATGATTTTCATATGTCTAATGATAACCATATTAACTTTATAATAGTTAAGTATACGGTGACGTGTTTAGGTGAAACTTAAAGATTCCATGTTTGATTATGAATTCGCTTGTTCTTAGTAGTTTCGGCCAAGATTAATCTTTTATATATGTTGATGTGATTCTTTTATATTATATGATATTTATGTTAGTTATTGGTGACTTGATTATTTGGTAATGAATTCATGTGATAATTAATCGACTTCATGTTGAAATTGATCATTGAATGGTTCATGGTAGAATTCGGCCTAATGGCCGATTGGTTGATCTTGATGATTATTCATGTGAAATGTTTATGAAAGTGAGTAATGAGTGCTTATTTGATGATTCATGTAATGTGGAAGCTTGTGTTTGTGTTGTGATTATTTGGCCAACTTTAATTGGAATGATTTAATGTTGTTCCAATGTATTATTTAGTTGGTTGGTTATGTGTAGGGTTATATGTTTGCATTCATGTCATTAAATGATTTTCATCATGTTCTTATTTTCAAAACCAAAATTGAGTGCATTGTTTCCAAAAAAAAAAATGAATAGACATGTCTAAATCATAGTCACGAGGCTTAATCATGACACATAAAGAGAATTATCTAATGAATACTCTTTGTGGGCATCACAGGTTTTATAAGGGACATGTCTAGTGCTTTTCATGATTTTCACATACATGTTTTTCATGGATAACCAAATTATATATATATATATATATATATATATATATATATATTTGGTCGGGTGTACTAGATCAAAGAAAGAGTTTTTCAAAGTCATGAAAATGTATTTTTTTGTAGCATGCATACTCGGATTAGACTTATTGAGTGAAAGCTCATCAAGTTGGCTTGTGATATAGGTAATCATCGAAAAGCATAGACTCGATGCAAAGTTGATAATGAAGCCGAAGGAAAGGAGCTTGCTAAAATGTGCTATAAAATTAGTATAGGTTTAACCTATTCCATTCTTAATTGTGTAGGTATCGTTGTCACTTTAGAACATAAATGAATAAATAAATATTGGAGTTATTATAAATTAATGAAATAGTTTGGCGAAGTTAATTCAAGGTTAGTCAAGAAATTGATTTAATCAAATGAAAATCAGAAGTTAAGTTAATAAAAGGGTTAAAGGATTAAAATACATAAATGATTTTTAATTGATATGAATTAATTAAATAATAGGTGTTTTCTAATATAAAATTAGCTTCCAAAAGGCTTAATAAGTTAATTAGCTTCCAATGAATTAAATTGAGTTTTTTTAATCAAGCTAATTAATTGAAATTGACATTTTAACTCATAAT